TGCATTACGTGTACACGAACGAAGTTGACGTTATCGATCGTATGAATTGCACAGGGCAGGCCATGGAAATTAAACGTTTCGGGGTGCGCGAACTTCTGCCGGACACGAAGCATTACATGACGTACGACGGCTCCACCACGATGCCGGCGTGTCACGAGACCACCACATGGATCATCCTCAACAAGCCTATATACATCACCAAGCAGCAGGCAAGTATCGTCGCTGCCGGCTCTTATAAAATGCATGCACACGCCCCCGCACTCGAGCGTTCGCGCGCGCGACACGAAGTACGGCGGCTCCACTCAATTATGCAATTCCGATCATTAAGAGAGACAGAGTCTTTGAAACATCGAGGAACGACGGCCGTGCTTTAGCGAATGGATAAAGTAAGTTGCGAAATAAGGGTGGAAATGAGGCACTTACTAAGCTCGTATCTTGGAGCAATGTAATCATAAATCACGCTTGACGGGTTTTACAGGAATCTCTAAAAAAAAAAAAAGGCAGTGTTTCACATTTAGTCGTTTGTTCTTTCAAGCGTAAAATTGAACAAGAGACGTTTTGATTTCAAGAATAAACAAATTCTCTATAGCGTAAAAATAACAAAGTGTTTAAAATCTTGTTCTTCATGATAATCTTATTGTAACGCACGAAATATGTATGTATATTGGTGAATACATAATTAGCTCGGTGAGTTGCTGTTTAGCTTTTTCTCGAGTTAAGTACAGCAGCTGACTTTATTAATAGAATGGAGTTTCATTGAGAGACCTTATAAAAATAGCTACGTGTAGTAAACCGACAAATGTTTGTTTCTAATGTATAACTTAAGCAATCTCATACTCATATAATAATATTTGTGATAATCGATCACGTATTTAAATTAGCTATCCATCGGAATTGCAAATTCTGTTATTATTGATATCGATCGCATTCAGCGAGGCAATAAAAGCACTTGTGCCTCATACCATGTTATTCAATAACGAATGTTGATTTAGATTAAGAGATGGTTTTTATTTTTTATTTTTTTAGGCATGATGTTTATGTAATATTCAAGCTCACTCATGATTATAAATACAAAAAATACATTAACAAATACAATCTCTTTATACGAACAAATTATATCACATTTTCATATAAAAATATATTATTTTTCTGTTAAATTTACATAGTTTAATAGTGTATCTCTTACTTATCTCAAATACTCTGTAAAAGAAGAACAACATCCAAAATGTTAAACTCTAAATTACTTATATTATGCTTTACAATTCTTATTTTTATAATTATTGCAGCTACACGCTCTGAGGCAGTTAATGCAAGGGGACGAAAAACAGCCAAACGCACCGCTTGCGAATAACTTTAGACCACCGCAACCCCTTCATCATCGTCCCGTTCGGACAAACATTGATTTCAATGTTCAGGTATGCTATAATGTATCAATATGTATTTTTTTCTATTATAAAAATAGTTTCGCTAATTCTTATATCATGTGTTCAGGGTCCGAAGAATTGTCCGACGATGAACAAGGATATATATTACAAAGGTATTAAGCAAAATTGATCAAATGCTTATATAAAGACCAATAAAATAGAATTAATATACATTTCTAATCGTCATAAAATTTACAAAATTACGCACAATTTTCTTTTTTTTTAAATTATGAGAATTTTTATTGAGAGAGTTATTATTAGAATCTGTTTGCCTAGGAGCTGCCACAGCTTATAAAAAAAGCATATTCTTTTCTCTGATAAAAATCATTCTATTGTATATCCTTTCAGCCAATAGCTGGAAATAATACCCAGCACTGCCGTGAGGTCAACATTCGCAGTAACTACGCTTCTCCCCGGAACGAGCTGGAACTTCGCTGTAAGGAAAAAAATTGACATATCAATTACAGGCGGTGACGCCGGGTCACAAAAAAAATTACGGCAGATAGAACGCGCGAAGAAGACGACCGTCGACGCCCACGTTGAGGTCGACATAAAAAAAAATGCTTCGTTGTACTTATTAGACGTGAATTGCCAAGTATGTTTCCAGTTAAATCAGAAGAAGAAAAACCAAATATACCTATAGATCACAAGTTAGACGAGATAAGCTAATCGTAAGATCTATTATTATATATATATCGGTAAACTATCGAAAAAAGCTATGACTATCGTGGCCTGCGCGAGGGGTTGAGAGATGCAATTATATGTATAAAAATTCACGCGCAACGGAGAGCGCTATCGCGAGCAAAAGTTTATACTATATTCTTGTAATAAAAGCTTGAAAAAACGCATAAAATGAGACATTTCCCGGTAGTTTTGCTCGATTTTTCCTCTACCCATCAATTAGCCGCTCTTGTCCTATATCAAAAAATCTGCAATTCTTATCCTCGCAAAATGCGTCTAAACAATGGCTATTTGTTGATAATTAATATATCCTGATATTATTTTCAATAAATGTTTGAAAGTGCGATTAAATCTCTTCATCATCTTCGCTAATTGAAAACTATTTCCCATTTTGCTATTATCGATTTTCTTTCACGGATTTTCTTATCTAAATAATAGCTGCCTATATGCTTCAATATTGTTAGTAACTTCAAAGTACTTTACTGTCTACAAAGTAGTGATGCAGCTGATAGGTCAGAAGTTAAAGTTTGCAGAGACCTGAACTGAATATCGCAAGTGCACCTAGTCGATAACGCAGAATCCGCGAGCAGAACCCAGTTAATCCTAGCTCAACGTTCAAACGACAACCTTAATGTCGCAGCTATCCAAAGGGAAAATCGATTTCTCTTCGAAGTAGCTGCGCCTGCACCAGTCAGACCATTATCAGCTTTCAGCGGATTCCGCACTGTCGCGCCTCTATCGCTTCACGTCCTTGTGACCGATTCCACTGAGGTACGTGAAACAATCTTCTCGGAATCCTTGCCTCGCGAGAGACTAAGATGCACCAAAGAAAAGTCTCAAAGAATGTTGAAGAAGCAAATGGGAAGGGGGTTGAATGTAGGAAGGGGAGGATATTACTATCATTGAACCGCTACCCAGAATTCGACGGTGCTGCCCGCAAACGGCTATGCGGCTAGAAAACCGGAAAGGGGTGAACGGCACATAGCGAAGGGGTGTACTGAGAGAGCGAGAGGAAGAGAGAGGGATAAAGAGAGAGAGGGAAACGCAAAGTGGGAAGATTCGTGCGAGAGAAAGGTGAACGCGGGGGTGGAGGGCGGAGAACGCAGAGGAGAGGGCGCCGCGTGCGCGAGAGAGGGACGGGTACGCGGATACAGATCCGTCGTGTCGGTGGCCGCTGCGGCAAATCTGCGGCTCTCCGCGGCCGTTCGTCGAAAGACTGAGAGTGACGTGATATCAGAGCACCCGGCCTGGATTTGGGTGCCGACGCGCTGTTCGCAATCCTCCAATCAGTAGCCTGAAGAATTTTTCGAAGTAAACCTAAAGACCGTATCCTCCGAAAGAGACTGAGAGATGATGGGATCCGATGATGAAACGATCTCCATGCAATCTCTGTCACATCTCTCACGCAATCCAGCAGAGATCGAATTTAACCAGAGCGACTTGTGCGGATGCCCGTTGTCGCCGAGGCTCCGCCGGTACAGAGATTAATTGATCGGCGAAGAGAGGAAAGCGTTGGAGGACATCGATGCCAGTCGACGACCTCATGGCGCAGGTGGGGGGTATTCTCTCGTGAGAGCGAACACGGAGAAGTTTACGGTGGAGAGTACGCGTGATGAGGAAAAACGTCGGCAAGTGCGTGTAGGGACGCATCGCCATTTGTTTCGGAGGAAGAAAGAAACGGGGTAGAACGTTCTCCGTTCACTCTTTCGTTCCTCGAGAGAATTCCGACGATAAGAACAGTCGTCCGCGAAAGTCGTTTGTCCCTCGATTGAGGGGTAAAGATCGATTGATCTCTCAGTACGTAACTGTGGCGGTGTAATAGACAATAAAGTTTGCTTAAAGTCGCTGGACCGCGGAACGGTAAGTTGCGGAGAGAACGACTGCGCGATATGGAGTTGATGAAATTCCGAGGGTGTGAGACACAGTGTACGTTCGTCTTTAAAGTCGGTGGGAGGCTGTAAGCGGTCTCGTGATTGGTTAAACGTGTCCGCGGGAATCTTTTTCGCCCTGTTACATGCGCTAATTCGAGTTTACGAGGCGAGTTTACGTGTTTGAGGTAAACTGATGAAGGCCTGCGGTTGATGGCCGACCAACATCGCGTTCGTCAGTTCAGCCAAAGATCGGCCAACATCGCGAAGGGAAAGGGGGAGAAGCGAAGGGAGGCTGGAGGGAGGCCAAAAGGGATCCCAGTTGATCGGCGAAGTTCAGTACCGCGACCAACGTCGCTAATTCGCGCAACGAGGCACCTTGACGACGTTTACGAGCTAGATGGACTCTAGTAAACTGAAACTAACCGTACTGCCCGCCGCCAATTCGACGGGAAACTTTCGTCCAACTCAATTACGTTACAACCGTGTCATATTCCGCGCCTGCGAAAACCAGTGGAAAGGTGACACCGACCTACTCTTCGCCGCAACTCGGCAGACTCGTGTTCCATGAAAGAGCTAATCGTGGTACTACGAACGCTTCTTCACGATTAATTTATGATAAGTGTAGTAAGCGGCCTGGTGTGGATTACGACGCGCGCCGATGGGATGGGACGGGGCGAGGGGGGGATGTTAGTAGCACCGCTAGCAGATTCAGCAATTAATATGGCGAGACAGGCATATTCCATCGTTGATTAATATGCTGATCGCGTATACAAGCACCGAGGCGGGATTTAAAATTCATATCGGTCGCATAATCGATAGTTTGTCACGCGAGCTCTCTTTTTGATTTCGATTCTATACTTATGTGAGCCGCATATTAAATAAACAGCATCGTGGTGCGATCGTCGCAAGCTCGAACGGGGAACTTGTCCTAGTACTTCACACGCGAGTAAGTGTATTCCACCCCGACGTCGGTGATAACGTTAAGAATATAATTTATATGAGACTCGTAATCTTCTTCCAGATTATCGCAGGAGTTATAAAGGAGAGTGGCTGGCTGGATTACGGTCCGCGCGCGCTTATGACGCTCACTTAATCAGGATGAGCTTTGAGAACTCGCTGACAATGCTGCTGGTGCGACAGAACCCGGAGAATTGGTCTGCGAAATGAATACCTCTGAGAGAAGAAACAATGGAAGCGTCCACGCGAGCATGACGGCCTCATTCGGTGTCGTGGACGGCACGCTTAGACGGCCAGAATGAGACTCTCGAGTAAGACTGAGAAACTTCTCACCCGTAATTCTGTTTCCTCCCTTTTGTTCCACTCGCGCAATGCTGCCCGACGTTTTCACGCATTCCGTCATGTCATCTATTTTAAATAGCTACGAACTTTCACGCACGTGTGTAAAGATATGACTTCTGCATATGAAATTCGTCTCTCATAGATGCTAGAAATCGAGGATCATGATGAACGATCGTTTCGTATTAGCTCTTTCCCACAGCTCGAGATAGTTCTCCTCTCTAATCTGTCACAAGCTATCTGTTATTCCAGCAATGTAATATTTCTTCTTTTATGCGCGACATCTTTTGTAGGCCGCCGTCCTATTCTTCTGCCTATATTAAATTCCTGTTTTCCGGTAGTGATAGCAGTTCGCGCTCGCTTCCTTTGCGTTCGAACTCTAACGGTGTCTGACAGCGATAAATTTGACGCGACGCGAGCACAAACCTTTGATGGGATGCCGCGACAACCGCAAAGTATTGAGTACACAAACAATCGATTACGCTGATGCGAGGCCTTTGTTTCGTAGGTCGTCAGTAAAACGGAGAACTGTTGTCGTCGTCGTTACCGTGTTGCGGTGGAGCCAGCTGCCTGTTCTCGCCTCGAGGCGAGAAGAGGATCAGACGGGATCAGTAGACACCGGGTAGACACCGATAAAAGGACGGTGTTATGTTAGTGACAAGGCCTCACCCTCTAGGAGGGCGCATACTACTCGCCCTCTTCCTTTTAACGGGGTGTTTCGCTTTGCTGTCACGGGCGGCCGCTTTCCCGGATTGGACCGACTGTCCCGCGGTTTGCCGATGCAAGTGGACCTCCGGCAAGAAGTCCGCTTTATGTCCGGACGCCGGCCTAACGTCGCTGCCGGCGTCCCTCGATCCGGACATGCAAGTGCTCGACTTGTCCGGCAACAAGATACCTGCTCTGAAAGAGGAGATATTCAAATTGGCCGGCCTGGTGAATCTGCAACGGGTCTTTCTGCGTAATGCCGGTATCTACAGTATCCATACGGATTCTTTCAAAGATATGAGGATACTCATCGAGATCGATCTGTCGGACAATCACGTAACGGCCTTGGAGCCGAATACATTTCTTGGGAACGAGCGCCTGCGCATTTTGATACTTAGCGGAAATCCGCTCGGTACTTTGCGTAATCTACAGTTTCCTGTACTACAGCATCTGCGAAATTTAGAGCTGCAACGATGCTCCTTGACTGAAGTACACGGACAAGCCTTTGCCCGGCTAACCGGCTTAGAATTCTTGAAGTTGGATACTAACCAACTAGAATATTTGGAGTCCTCGGTGATATCCGGATTATCTCGCTTGAAAACCTTAACGCTAGATGGCAATCGATGGAGATGCGACTGCAGACTACGAGATTTCCGCACCTGGCTTATCCCCGACGTACCCAGCAAGTTGTACTCCGTGCCACAAATCTGTTCAGGTCCACCGAGATTGGAAGGCCGCAGGTGGGAGGATGTAAAATCTACGGAATTTGCTTGTGAACCAAAAGTATTCGTCCTGGCGAGCAGCATACAAGAGGAGACCAACGGTAATCTCAGCTTGGCGTGTCGAACGAGCGGCGATCCCGAGCCAGAAGTTTGGTGGCAATTAAACGGTGGACCAGTCAATGCTACCAAATCGACTGATCAATCCTACATGGGGACTCTCGTCATTTACGCAACGTCCGAGTCTGGGATACCTTCCAATGACAAGTCTGCGTCCAGAACCATCGGGGACCGATGGAGCAACTTGACCGTTTACAACGCCAGTGACAGCGACGCCGGCGAGTATGCCTGTTTTGCGAAGAATATCGCTGGTCTCGCGCGAGACACAGTCAACGTGGCAATACCTCGTGTTTATACGGCCCCGACTCTCTCCCAAAGCGACAACTGGCTGCTCTGGGTAAGTTTGGCTGGAGGCGGCGCCGCTGCCGCGTGTGCTTCCATCTCGGCCGTGTTGCTGGTTCTTTGTTTGTGCGGTGGAAATCGACGACACAGTAAACGGGAGAAGGTGAAGCTGCAAAGCAGCAGCAGTTTCGGCGACCAAGAGAAGAAGCTGCTAGACCTGTCCGTGACCACCACCACGACGCCCGGCAATAGTAACGATCGCGGCAGCGGTCACGGCAGCATCGATGAGGCGTGTAGCACCGGTGACCTCGAGTTGGCGGAGCGCAGCTCTATTTGCGATCCTATGGCTGCGGCCGCGGTCACCGTCGAGCGGCTG